CGCAAAACGGGAAAAAAAAAAAAAAAAAAAAAAAAAAAAAAAAAAAAAAGAGCCCTTCAATCGGATTGGCTTCCCTGTTGCTAAAAGCAAAGGGGTGCTTTGTTCATAAACTGAACCAAAATGCTAAAAAATCCCAGACTTTAACTAAAGAGGGACCTGTTAGCTTCAGCATTGGTGAGAGGTTACCTGCCCAGCCCCTCTTTGCCTTGCCAGGGAGGCTGAGTCGGGCTCAGTGCGATGGGATGGTGGGATGGGACGGTGGGATGGGATGGTGCAATGGGATGGTGGGATGGGATGGTGGGATCGGATGGAGGGATGAGGTGGTGCGATGGGGTGGTGGGATGGGATGGCAGCTGTTGGGTTTTAGAGCAGAGCTGGCCAGGGTGGAAACTGGGCACTAGGTTGTTTAGGCATGTCCCTGGGGGAAACCTGGCTAAGTTCTGGAGAAAAGGAGGCTGAGGGGAGACCTTATCGCTCTCTACAACTACCTGAAAGGAGGGTGTAGTGACGTGGGTACTGGTATCTTCTATCAAGTATCTAGTGATAGGATGAGAGGAAATGGCCTCAAGTTTCACCAGGGGAGGTTTAGATTGGGTATCAGGACAAATTTCTTCACCAAAAGGGTTGTCAAGCACTGGAACAGGCTGCCCAGGGGAGTGGCTGAGTCACCATCCCTGAAAGTGTTCAAAAAACACATAGATGAAGCACTTCATGACGTGGTTTAGTGGCCATGGGGGGGTTGGGTTGACGGTTGGACTCGATGATCTTAAAGGTCTTTTCCAACCTAAACAATTCTATGATTAAAGTGGCTGCTTGGAAAGGAGAGGTCCTCCTTCCAGGTGCAGGTCTGGGCTTGGGGGACTAACTGGCACCTCTTGGACTCCTCAGGGAGGTGATTCAGCAAAATGGTCTGGCAGAAAATGACCTCAGCAAGAAAAGGTAAAAAATTCTGGTTCTATGAGAGCTTGGGTGAGTGTCACACATGAAGCTGGGAGTGTGTAAACCCTGTCCATAGCTCCTGTCCTAAACCAATCCCCCAGATCCCACCCAAATCCATCAACTCTTCACACTTGCTTGCTGTCACCAAAAAGTCCTCCTTTCCCACCTGTTTTCCAAAGACAACCACTAAGGTTTTGGACCCATCACGAAAAATGTCCTTGGAGCATGTTCTCAATGAGTCTAGAGAGAAAACATCTTGAGGAGGGTTGGTGGAAAATAAAGAAACCCAGATTTATTGTCCTTTCCCTGGAACAGCTCAGCTCTTGGCTGGCCATTGGCCTTTCAGATTTCAAACTTGTGTTTGACATTAACAATCAAACTGTGATGAATGAGCATGTTTGGAACATTTTGTATCATATGCTTCAGAAATAGCAGATTACCCTTTGAAAATAATAAGATCTACTTTAAACGATGTTTTTTGACTCCAGAAATGGAAAGAAAGAAAGAAAGAAAGAAAGAAAGAAAGGAAGAAAGTATTTGTATCACAGCCAAACATGATCTCATCTCTGTATTTTCTTTAATGAAGTTGTAGAAAATACTTTCTATAGAGATGGAGAAATAAGCTTTGGATGGGTCAGAGTATTTTGTGAATCTAGACAGATTTCCTTGCTTTAGTCAACATAAAGTTCTGTGTAATTCTAAAAAAGTCAGTTTTGGCAACTTCTGTGTAAAATACATTAACATTATTGTGTTTAAAGTTATCTTCTAATTTACATTTAATTTAAAAAATTAAAGGCTTTTATAAAACTTGTAATCTGATAAAAATATTTTATTCCTGATCAAAAAGAAAAATTTTCAAACCTGAAGAAAAGTTTTTGTGTACTGTTCACCAACCCTCATGGCAAGCCAAACTCTTGAAGCCACTTTCTGACCTTCTTCCTCACACCGTTAATGCCACTGAGCCAAACAGGAGCACCTGACCAGGGAAGATAAACAAAAGGGAAGAAGTTATAATAAAAATAATTGAGGGATTGAGGGTTTTATTAAAAAGCTTGTACCAAACTCTGTTATTTCTCCAGTGCTGCCCACAAAATATCAACAAATAGTATGAAATTATATATATAATATATAAAATTATAAATTATGATATATATTATATATTAGACACAATACATAATATACATCTATATATTATGTAATAAATTATATACTAGATCATATAAATACAAATCCATATACATATATAAATTTTATAACATAGAGTATATATTACATATAATATCTATTTATAATGTGTATATATTACATTTTATAATATATGCGATATGTGTTTGTATATAATACATTACAATTTTATACATATATAAATATAAATTTGTATATATAAATGCATATTTTATCTCTATAAATACAGAAACAAGAAAAACCTTGTAGTTTTAAGTAACGCCTACTTCATCTCTCTTTTTAAAGAACCTTCCCAAAGCACGCTTTTCCTCGTCCTCCATTTCCCTTGACTTTACAGGGCAAAACCAGTCCCCAAAACCCCCGAAAGAGCTCACCTCTGTCCCTAAATTAGAGTTAATTGCTCATTAGGGTGGGCGGGAGGTGGCTGGGGGGGGCAGCTGCCGCTGTCCATGGTACCGGCGGGTCGCGCTGCCCCTCCCGGAGCGCAGGGACCGGATCGGCCTCGCTCCCCCATCGCGACTGTCCTCTCCTTGGGGCTTTCTTTATCTTCCTGTGACCTAGGCAGGCTCTCGGACTCGAATAGTAGAGTTTTGACAGAGTAGAGGGTAATAATAAAGGCCTGCAGCTCTTCAAGTGTAATAGCATGATCTTCTTCCCCCAAAAAACTGACCGAGAAGATGGATAACAGCAAGAAGAAGAACATGGTTTGGACAAAGTGCTGCAAATGCTGTGTCAACCACTCGTATTAATGTCATCCGTCGTCGATATCACCTGTCAGCATGTCACAAACCATCAAAAAACATGGCACGATTTAATATTTAGTGGAATTTCTAGGATATTGTCAAGCAGGAATTTCTAGGGTATCATCTCATGGGTTGCTGGAGTTTTGTTTTTACATTATATGCAATGTTATCTGGAAAGGGAGAAGTGAGGAAAAATAGAATCTAATTGACTTTCTGATCTTGGCAACAAGAAGAGTAATAGGAAATGCACAACCTAGAGTCTTTTGCATATCAAAAGCAGCTTGATCTCAGAAAATCTGAACAGTAGTAGAGCTGTGTTCATGCAGACATCGAGGTACAGCCAAAGGTAGAATGCAACAAATCTCCTTAAATTGCTAAATAAGAGGGTACAGGGTGTGGAATACTTAGAAACACTTTGAGGCTTCATTTACACTTGGTACCCACTTGGAAAGCATTGTTAAAACCCCTGGGAAGTGGGGAAGGATCTCAGGTGAATGTGTTATGTTGCCAGGTGGAAGGATAAAAGGAAACAGTGGGGTTTAGACATCAAGGCTTTGGCAGTGAGGATAGCCATGACATATGATAACCCCATCACACAAGGAGATTTGCCAAATGCACAGAGAATAAAGAGAATAAAAAGGCCTGTAAATCACATGGCATTGGGTAAATACAGTCCCATAGGAGTGGCAGGTTTGGGTTTGTGTTTTCTCTTCCTTTGTCTTTTGAGGGGGAGCCTGTCCTGATGGTACTGCCCCATGTTCAACACCTTTCTTAGGGCAGCTGCATGAAAGGTAGAAGGAAGAACTGAGCATTTGCTTTCCTGTCTGTCTTGATTTAGCCAGGTGTGAAACTGTACAACCAGTTGTCTCTACCGTTAAATAACTCTTTAATAACTCCGCTGATTGACAGGGTTTCTGAACAGAAGCCACCAAAGATGCTTGCTAACCACTGCTTTTCTAGCAGCACTACGGATCAGAGGCAGCTGCCTCTGAGATGAGCTTTCTGTCAGGTTGCATTGGCATGCTATGCTTGATTTCTGTATGAATGGTGTTAGTCATCAGCTGAAGCAATGAAGTTCCTTTGACACACGATACCTGCTGTGCTCACGGGTTGTGCTTTTTTAATATCTTATGTGCCGTTGTGTTTGAGACATTTCTTGTACTTGATGAATTCTATCTGACAACTTCCCTTTCAATTTTCCCTCATCAGACCCCATATATTTATATTTTCTCTTTCAGGTGGGATTTGTAATCCTTCTACCTTGATATATTCACTCCAAAAATGAACACCGAGGGATTACTCTTATTGCCTGCTGCA